GCTCTTATGTTTAGTATCTTTATTTTGAACCCTATTGGTAGGAGCAAGTTTTATAACTCCATGGTATTGGTATACTCATTGGGCTTTAGCTCATTCTTTTAAATAAATTTTTTTTTTCAGATTCATAGACTTTTGTGTGGCTCGCCTCAACTTGGAAGACTAGAATTTTTTTTGAAGGATCACAGGTGGGCATCTTGTGGTTGAGGTTTTGCTTAGGGTCATTCTAGGATGTAAGCTTACCCTTTTTTTTTATGAAGGAGGTTGATTGTAAATATTGCTTATAAAGTTGGATGTATTGATGGATTCGTGATTAGTATGTATTATATATATATATTTTTTTTTTTGGAGGAAATGCTTGGGAACTATCTTGTAGCATGATAATATTTTTTTTGTCTTTGAATAGATCATCTCATATATGTTAGGCAATTGAAAGGTCATATGCACTTTTGGTGATGTGGTAATGTGATGTATGAATTATACAGGAATTGTGGTGTAAAGGTGCTATAGCGTTTGAGGTGCACCCTCTTAGCAGGGTTTTGCCTTGCAAAGATTGGGTCGTTACAATTGTTCTCAACTGGAGGCAAATAAGGGGCTGCCATTGAGTTGATCTGTCAAGCTGTCAAGCTGGGTTTAGTTGATCTGTATGCCCTGTTGTAGTGCTCTGTTGTGCTAAAAAGAGGGTCTAAGGGTTGAAGCTGTCTGCTAATGGTCTGCTAGCCTGCTAATAGTCTTGTTGATCTGCTTGTCTACAAATTAATAGTCTTGATCTTACTCTGCCTTTTAGTAGAAGTTGGCTGCTTATAGTTGTGTTGAAGCTATTTTGTGGGTCTATTTGTGCCCAACAGTGGCTATTGGTTGTTTGTTTGTGCCCAGCTGTGACTTTTGCTTTATCTATTGGTTTCTTACCAACTCCAGCTTGGAGCTTGTGTTAGCTCCAAGCTCCAAGCTCCTCTTTATTATTGTATATTATCATACTTTGTCTATTTTTATCAATAAAGATTTCTTTTGCCGATAAAAAAAAATTATATATATATATATATACATTTTTTAGAAAAAAAAAAGTTAGGGTTTCAGAATTTGGGACCTAAAATTTACCCAGAAATGGGTATGCGTGATGGAGATTGAATTGAAAAAATATGAAATTTATATATAAAATGAATTTAAGCTATTGATATAAAATTCTGAATAATTTTTAAATTTCTATATCTAGACCCACAACATTACTATTTTTTTAGGGTGCCCGTGATAACATTTCCCTTGATATATACATATAAATATATCGCATCATAGTTGCCCATATGCAGGAATTGACTTGGGGTTGGGTATGAATGGGATTGGTTCAAGTTAGAGTCAAAACAAACAAATTAACTTCGATGAATTCTAAGTTTTTGGATCCGTAATTGAACAAACTATTTCTTAAGCTTAGGCCTCGGTTAGGAAGATAATAGTTTTAGTTTAAAAGTCAAAAAATTACTTAAAAAAATTAAAAAGTCTATAACCTATATCAAAAAATTAAATATTTTATTTTCTTTTTACTTTTTTACCTATCTTTTGGTAAAAATTAAAAAATCATTCCAAACATACAATTTTTTTTTTTTATCTTATATTTTAACTAAAAAGTCAAAAAATTACTAAAATAGCATGTTTTCAAACGAGGGCTTATTGTTGCACAAATATGATAATATACATATGTATGTATGTAAATAGAAAAATCATTTACCTTTGACAGGGAAGAAACCCTTTTCGACAAGATTACGGTGTTGGATGAAACCCATGAAGCCACAAGCACCGGCTGCCCAGAAAGAAACATGGGGAATGGCTAGTTCTTCAGTAGCTGCGAGTGTGAAGCACATGATCGCATCAGAGACTATGCAAGTGATCGGTGGAACGTTCGATGTAGCAGTGTCATTGAGTTTGCGAAGAAGGTCTTTAAAAGGAGGTAACCAGTGTTTGTTGGTGGACTCCAACAGGCAGGCATTGGCGTTGGATTCCGGGAGGCCGTCGGGTATGGTCTCAAAGCGGAAGGTGGGAAGGCCGTCGAGCGAGTCTGGGCCTCGGGATTTGAGGATGCGTTTGTGGTTGAACTCTGTGTTAACGAAGGTTATGTGGAAGTCTTTGCTATGGAGGAGTTTGGCTAGTTTTAGCATGGGGTTGATGTGGCCTTGAGCAGGCAATGGTATACACACTGCATGAGGCTTCTCTGACAAGGATCTGGAACCCATTCTCTCTGTCTCTCTCTCTCTCTATGGTGGGATTGATGCTTATGGCAAAGAGAATATGGAAAGAGTTTTATAGTCCAGCAAAGAGGTTTAATATCTCTATAGCTAGTGTTAACCTGTTGTGTTTGAAGGTGATAAAAACAATTTTTTTGGGAGATAAAACCAATGTTTTGAAATTCAGCCGATTCGCCAAAATTGGAAGGACGATGAGGTCGATCATTTGTTGAGTCCCCGTTTGGCAATTGGTTTTAGTTGGTTGTTTTTTTTTTTTTTTTTTTTTTTTTTTTTTTTTTTTTTTTTTTTTTTTTTTTTTTAACTTTTTGATTATTTTAGCTTAGAAGTAAAAGTTTGTTTTATTCTATTTATTTTATTTATTTATTTATTTATTGAGAAAAAAAGTAGAATAATTATGATTTGAATGTGATATTTTGTCATTTTATTTTTTTTTTATCAGCAAAAAAAGATTTATTGATGATAAAGCAAAGTACATGCAACAATACATCAACAAATCAAGGAAGTACACTAAGTATCATAGCTAACCTTCACAATCCCAACTAGGTTGGCACTGCGAAAGAAACACAATTATATACAAGCACATGACCCAACCCAAGATTGGTGAAAAGCCAATCAAGAGCAAACAAAATCCAAAAAACAAAACACCAATACAATAAAACAAAAGCAATCAACATAATTCTACACTAGCTCCAAACCATAGAGCTTCCACCAGCAGTAAAAGCAACTTTTGTGTATGGGCGAGTATCTGCACAGACTAGAACAGCCTCATACATCAGCAAGCCAAACAGCAGTAAGCCTCTGAATAGCAGTATACATCAGTAGCTTATAACAGGTCAAGATAGCAACAGACAATCTCGTAACATCATCAAACATCAGCAGGCCTCCCAAGCCATACCACCCTTACCTGCAGTAGCAACCAATAAGCAATACCCCAACTGTAGCAAATAGAACAACAACCGCAAACAAACCAGTAACAGCATCCTAATGCTCCACTGCCCTGAGGCAACCAAGACCCTACTGCTTAGCAGCAATCACACATTCACATTTCTACCAATGCAAACTCTAATTTGATTCATGTTAAAACTAAAGTCATTAACTGAAAACTAGGCTAGTTTAGGTGATGTCTTCGCCCATGTAGCAACTCTAATCTTGACCAACTCAATGACTTCATCAAGGTTAGGATTTGAGTTCTTGAATTTACACTCATTTCTGCACTTCCAAATAGACCACAACACTGCTAGAGGTATACTTTTCCATATCACTTTCTCTGATTTCCTAACTTTGGCTCTATCCCACCAAAGAAGCACCTTTTCTACTACATCCGGCAATGTCCCAAAAAAACCCCACCACTTTAACATAGCAGCCCAGATGTGGCATGAAAAAGGACACAGAAGAAGGACATGGCAAGCAGACTCAAGCTCAGCTTTGCAAAGAATGCATTTAAGATCTAAATTGCTACTCAAGACCCTAATTTTTTGCAAAAACTCTGCAGATTTAATTCTATTCTTCCAAGCCAACCATCCTAAGAATTGGACTTTGGGTGGAATAAGCTTGAACCACACCAACCTGCGACCCCAAACTAAAGAAACCAAAATTATCATAACATAACTTGTACACAGAAGAAGTAGAAAATACTCCTGAGGATTCCGCAGCCTAACAAGGTACATCAGCAAGACCAGGTCTGAGGGAAGGAGCTGCTGCTAGTAGATTAAGCAATCTTGATACTTCCAACTCCTCTCACTCATACAAAACCCTTCTGAAAGGTATCACCCATTCTACTGAACTTCCTTTCAAATCAGAGTAATGCTTAACAGAACCTTCCTTAGTTTGAGCATGATTGAACAGGCCAAAAAATTCTCTCTTGAAACATACATTTCCACACCACTTATCATACCAGAATCTGGTTCTAGATCTATCCTCAACTTGAATCTGAAAATTCTGCTAAAAAAACTCACCCAAGTCCCATCTCTGATCAGCAATGGCAATGACGTCCTTCCAAATGCTAGAATATCAATTACTGAGATTAAAATTAGGACTCCACTGGTCAATTCCAATTCCAATTCTATATTTACTACAAATCACTCTGCTCTAAAGAGCACCGGCTTCAAGACCAAATCTCCACCACCATTTGATAAGTAAACAAGTGTTCACCTCCCTGATTCTCCTAATCCCCAACCCACCTTGATTGACCCTTTTTGTGATCTCCTCCCATTTGTTTTGGGTGAATATCTCCTCCCATTTCACCATATGAATTTTCCTTTTCAGATCAAAGCCACCCCATAAGAAAGATGCTTGAAGCCTTTCAATCTCCTTAGCTACTCCCTCTGGAATTCTAAACATTGACAGATAATACATAGGTAATCTTGACACGACTTCTTTGATCAATGTGAGCCTACCTGCAAATGATTGATGCTTCCTCTTCCACCCAGCAAGTCTGGATCTAACCTTTTCCAATACAGGTTGCTATGTTGCTTTTCTTCTAAGATTGGCCCCAATAGGTAACCCAAGATACATGATGGCCAAATTCTGGACACTGCAATTTAACAGAGAAGCAAAGCTTGCTAGATTGTCATTAGGTACACCAACACCACACATCATACTTTTGTGATAATTAATTTTCAACCTAGATAATATCTCAAAGCACCCCAGAATCCTCTTTAAGTTCACCACTTCATGCTCTTCAGCTTCACAGAATAGAATTGAGTCACATATGCAAATTATAGGTGAGAAATTAGAACATCATTAGATCCAACCATTACACCTTTAATCAGTCCCAAATGTAGAGCCCTTGATAACAAGATGTTCAATCCTTCAACCACTATATTAAATAGGAAAGGGGACAAGGGGTCACCTTGTCTCAGACCTCTTTGAGGACAACACTCCTTAGTTGGGGAATCATTGACAAGTATATATAATTTCCTAGTGGTCACACACTCCTTAATCTAAGAGATCCATTTGTGCCCAAATCCAAAATTTGAAAGCATGGAGAATAGAAATTCCCAATTAACAGCATCATGAGCTTTCCGAAAGTCCAGTTTAATGATTAACCCCTTCTTCCTTGTTTTCTTCCAACATTCCATTGCCTCATTGACAATCAAGACTCCATCAAGTATATTTCTACCACCCAAAAATGTTGATTGTGCTTCACTAATAATTTCAGGTAATACAACCTTCAATCTATTAGTAAGTACCTTAGCTAGAATCTTATGCAGTGAGCCCACCAAACTTATTGGTCTAAAATCTGCTAGTTCCACAGAGTTCTCCTCTTTCGAAATCAAGGTTATGAAAGAGCTATTGATGCCTTTTACCAGACATCCATTTCTATGAAAATCCTTCATAAATTGAACCACATTACCCTTCATAAGCTTCCAAAACTTCTGAAAATAAAATAAATTAAAGCCATTTGGTCCTGGAGCTTTTTTGCCATTACACTCTTTTACAGCTGATAGGAATTCAAGTTCTGTAAACTCTGCCTCCAAACTATCAAACATATGGCTATGTCTGACAAGTTTGAAATCCCCACCAACTGTAGGTCTGCATTACCATAACTCAGAAAATTGCTCAACAAAATGAAGTATCACTTTTTGCCTCACCCTTGAGGGATCATCAACCACCTCTTCATTTTCAATGAACGAACTTATCATGTTCTTATTCTGCCTACAATTTTCCATGATATGGAAAAATCTAGTGGTTTTGTCCCATTCAAGAACAAGTTTAGCCTAGATTTTTCTCTTATTAGTTTATTTAGACTATTTTGCTTTTATACTTTTTTTTTTTTTAGCCAAAAAGTCAATGCCAAACAATTGGATTGGAATTGGGATATCATAATTATATTATAAATATATTACCCATTCGTCCCAAAATCTTACGTTTTTATTTTTTATTTTTTATTTCTTATAATATAATTATTACGTTTTAAAAATATTAACGTTTCAAAATTACTAGTACATTTTTTTTTTTTTGAGAATATCAATTGTTATACTTATAGTTTGTGTTGTCAATGAATCTAAAAAAAAAAAAAAAAGACAAAATAAAAAATTTATATTATGGGAGTATTTGAATTTTGAAAATAGACTAATTTTAGGAGATTATGAAAAATGAAATAAGTGATTAATATTTTGAAACGAATAAAATAAAATTTAAAGCAAGTGAAGATGGGGTTTAAAGAATCGATTATAATAAACTTTATTTCTTATATTTCAATAAGTCATATGGGTGACATAATTACCAAAATACCCTTAATGTGAATGTTCACACCGTCAACGTAAATGTTCATATCGTTAATGTGTAGGGGACCAGCCCATGTCGATCTCCCTGGGTGCTCGGAAAAATTCGAGTCGGTCGGGCCGGTCCACAGGCCAAAAAAATAGGTCCGGCTCGGCCTGTTGATATATGGAATATTCACATTGACAAGTTAACATTCACATTGATAGGAGTGTAAATTGGTCTGCGGCGTGGGGGCCCGAAACCAGCCTGCCGGGGGGCGGGCCCGGACGCGCCGTTCACAATGTGAATATTCACATTGACATCTTAACATTAACAATAACATTGACAAGAGTGTTAAATGGCCCATGACCCGTGGGCAGCCGAAGCCCGGCCCGGTCAGGGCGGCCCGGCCGGCCCGACCGTTGACAATGTGAATATTCACATTGATATGTTAACAATCATATTGATTGGAGCGTAAAATTAGTCCGCGTGTGGCCGGCCCGAAACCCGCCCAGACACGTGGGCGCCTGGCGGGCCGGCCTGTTGACAATGTGAATATTCACATTGACATGTTAACATTCACATTGATAAGAGTATAAAATTAGCCCGCGCCCTGTGGCTGCTCGAAACTAGCCCACGGCCTGTAGGCGGCCCGAGGTGGGCTCGGCCCGGCCTGTTGACAATGTGAATATTCACATTGACATGTTAACATTCACATTGATAAGAGTGTAAAATTGACTTGCGTTCCATGGGCGGCACGAAGCCCGTGGGCGGCGCGGGGCGAGCCCGGTCCGGCCCGTTGACAATGTGAATA